TTAATTGCATTTTGTTGTGAAATACTATGAAAACAAATAAAACAAGAACTATAAAGAATTGAAAGAACAACACCAAGAAGAAAGAAAGCTTGTTCCTTCACACTTATTTCATAGAGTGATGAGAATCAAGATGACAACACGCGTACGACATCAAGTGATTCATTGCGTATTCAAGGAGGTCTAAAAGCAAGAGTTAGAGCTAAGAAGATGCAAGAAGCTATAAATGCATTTATTGAAGAGATTTGGACTAAAAGCAATGCATAGCAACTTGGAGGATTATCAAGGCTTAGTAAATATTATTCAAGTCCAAGAATAGCTTATTTGAAGTCGTTTTGGGCTAAATTGCATAATTTGAATTGAATTCACTTAATTCAGCCACAAATGCACAATTTAGCTACAATCTCACTACAATCTTGCTACAATCTATCATGAATTGTTGTTTTGCACAATTTTTAGTTTATTTTTTACTTAAATTTGCATTTTTTTTAGTTATTTAGGCTAAAAATTATTTTTAATTGAAGTTCAATTGGTGTCCTATTAAGAATAGTACATATTCATACCTTTTTTAGGAGTATCACATATTCAATTGTATATTTAATTGGATTGGCGTATAAAATTTAGGTTTCTATTATGATTTGAACTAATGTAGCTATTTAAAAACTTGTAACCCTAATTAGGGACAATTATTCATTATGAGATTACTTGAAAAACTTTTTTCTTGGTTTGTTTACGAACTTTACAAAACTTATCAAAATTATTGATGTGACATTCTAATCTAACTTATCACTCTTGTTCTTAATCATTTTAGAATGTGGCATCAAAATTCCTTTGTATCTTTAGTTCTTGTTTCGATATAAACAAGGGGTCAAGGTTTGTCTTCTATAAATCTAATTTGGCTTTCCTTGGGATTTTGAATTTTGTTGTTGTATGTGTGAGTCCCACTGCATTTTTTGGGGTTCACATCATATAGAATAGTTCTATTTACACATGAAAAGAATTGTAACTTTCAAAATGAAAAATTCATTGTACAATAATTCTTATAAGTAATATCTATTTATTTGTTATAACTCCTATGTGTTGATGATTGCCATATGCAATATCAACTAATTTCAAAGAAAAGAAGAACATTAGCCATCCATTGGTGATGAATTGAAGCTTCTAAGAGATAAATGTTTTCATTGGTGGAGAATTGAAATAGCCATTCATCATCCCATTTGTTAGGATGAAGAAATGTAACAAACATG